AAATGAGCAGGACAGAATGTGGTGTGGAGATGTTCTGCTGCTGAGGAGACCCCGCGCCCCAAAACACACACTGACCCGCAGGAGGAGCCCACAGCGGCCCAGAGACACAGGTAAACACACACACACACACACACACACACACACACACACACACACACACACACACACACACACACACACACACACACACACACACACACACTTTATAAAACACACACACACACACACACACACACACTCTGACCCACAGGGGCCTAGAGACACAGGTGGACACAAACACACTGATTTATTGTAATGTGTGTGTGTGTGTGTGTGTGTTTATTATACTGTGTGGGTGTGTGTGTTTTATTATGTGTGTGTTTGTGTGTGTTCTTTATTATAATGTGTGTGTGTGTGTGTGTGTTTGTGTGTTTATTATGTGTGTGTGTGTATGTGTTTATTAAAGTGTGTATGTGTGTGTCTATTATAAAGTGTGTGTGTGTGTGTTTTATTCTAATGTGTGTGTGTGTGTATGTGTGTGTTTATTATACTGTAAGTGTGTTCTTTATTATAATATTTGTGTGTGTGTGTGTGTATATGTGTGTTTCTTATACTGTGTGTATGTGTGTGTTTATTATACTGTGTGTGTGTGTGTGTTCATTATACTGTGTGTGTGTGTGTGTGTGTGTTTTATTATGTGTGTGTTCTTTATTATAATATTTGTGTGTGTGTGTATGTGTGTGTGTTTATTATACTGTGTAGGTGTGTGTGTGTGTGTTTTATTATGTGTGTGTTCTTTATTATAATGTGTGTGTGTGTTTATTATGTGTGTGTGTATGTGTTTGTGTGTTTATTAAAGTGTGTATGTGTGTTTATTAAAGTGTGTATGTGTGTGTTTATTATAAAGTGTGTGTGTGTGTGTGTGTTTTATTCTAATCTGTGTGTGTGTATGTGTGTGTTCATTATACTGTAAGTGTGTTCTTTATTATAATATTTGTGTGTGTGTGTTTATTATACTGTGTGTGTGTTTTTTTTTTATTATGTGTGTGTTTGTGTGTGTTCTTTATTATGTGTGTGTGTGTGTGTTTTTATTATGTGTGTGTCTATGTGTGTTTCTTATAATGTGTGTGTGTGTGTGTATTTATTATACTGTGTGGGTGTGTGTGTTTTATTATGTGTGTGTTTGTGTGTGTTCTTTATCATAATCTGTGTGTGTGTGTGTTTACTATACTGTGGGTGTGTTCTTTATTATAATATTTGTGTGTGTGTGTTTATTATAATGTGTGTGTGTGTGTGGGTGTAAATGTTTTTCTTATAATGTGCGTGTGTGTGTATGTGTGTTTCATATAATGTGTGTGTGTGTATGTGTGTTTATTATACTGTGGGTGTGTTCTTTATTATAATATTTGTGTGTGTGTGTGTGTGGGTGTATATGTGTTTCTTATAATGCGTGTGTGTGCGTGTGCGTGCGTGCATACGTGCGTGTGTTTCAGGTCCTGGTGAAGTGTGTGAGTCTCCTGATCTTCAGCATCATGTTGCTGTTGCTCCAGTCAGGTTACCCAGAATGCCACAGGGTTTCTCCCAGCATGCTCAGCGTGTGGATGTGTGTGATCTGCTACCGGCCGCTGACACACACACTCTGAGGAAAGCAATCCTGTCCCGCCACAACTACAGGAAGTTGCTGCACCTCTTCCTGTCGGAGCTGCACAGTGGCGGGCAGAGCACGGTAGCCAATCAGACGCTGAGCTGCGAACATCTGCCACCAATCACACGCAGGATCCCGAGGAGACAGATCATATGTGGTGAAGGACACAACAACACACCTGCAGACCTGTGTGTGTGTGTGTGTGTGTGTGTGTGTGTGTGTGTGTGAGAGAGAGAGAGAGGGAGAGAGATTATTTACTTTAATCTATGTGTGTGTTCTTCACAAAAGTGTGTGTTGTTTACTAAAGTGTGTGTATTCTTTACTGTAATGCGTGTGTGTATTCTTTACTAAAGAGTGTGTGTTTTTGTGTTCTTATTGTAATGTGTGTGTTTGTTATTTACTGTAATGTGTGTGTGTGTATTAGTTTTTATATATTGTGTTTGTGTGTGTGTGTGTGTGTGTGTGTGTGTGTGTGTGTGTGTGTGTGTGTGTGTGTGTTCAGAGTTGGCAGCAGTGGTTCAGATGGAGGCTCGAGCACGAAACCCTTTCAGGATCTGTTCTGGAGATCAGACGGAGAGACGGAGCGAACACACACACACTCACACACACTCCGAGCTGTTCACAGGCAAGAACACTCTTCTTCTTCATCACTGCTCTTCTCTCTGTGTGTGTGTGTGTGTGTGTGTGTGTTACACTGATTTCCAGAGGACCACGAGCACTGAGCAGTAATGATGAAGCAGTTTTATAGCACAGATATAAGCGTGTGTGTGTGTGTGTGTGTGTGTTTGTTTTTAAATATGTGTGTGTTATGTAATTCTGTGTGTGTGTGTGTGTGTGTGTGTGTGTGTGTGTTCAGCTCCTGAGCTCCTCCTGACTGCAGTGTCCAGCAGACTCTTCCAGGGTTGTGCGCGCTCTGCCTCTCCGTTCCACAGTGCAGGAGTGTGTGAGGTCATCAGTGTGTGTGAGCTGGCCGTGCTGGAGTGTGTGACGCGTGGAGGAACAACACTGAGCCTGAAGGTAACACACACACACACACACACACACACACATGATCGAACAAGATCAACTGCGCACACACCTGGACACAGGAACAGGAAATACACAAAATACAAAATAAGAGCACAGTGTGTGTGTGTGTGTGTGTCTGCAAATGAGCTTCTGCTTGAACACAAAGAGTGTGTCTGTCTTTAGGAAACGAAACACCAACTGAAAGAGGAAGAGCAGGATGAGCACTTCCCTTTGCCTCAAGTATTTTAGCATGCAGTTTAAGGAAGTGTGTGTGAGTGTGTGTGTGTGTGTGTGTGTGTGTGTGTGTGTGTGTGTTCAGTGTAAAGAGCTGCAGCCTCAGCTCACTGTTGATTTCACTGCACAACTGTTACAGTAAACACGTCTAAATATTGACAGTACATGACTGTACACTCAGAGCTGCTGCAGTGTGTGTGTGTGTGTGTGTGTTTACAGTGTGTGTCTGCAGCGTCTGTGTGTTTACAAGTGTGTGTGTTTACATTGTGTGTTTACAAGTGTGTGTGTTTACAAGTGTGTGTGTGTTTACATTGTGTGTTTACAAGTGTGTGTTTACAAGTGTGTGTGTTTACATTGTGTGTTTACAAGTGTGTGTGTGTTTACAAGTGTGTGTGTTTACATTGTGTGTTTACAAGTGTGTGTGTTTAAAAGTGTGTGTGTGTTTACATTGTGTGTTTACAAGTGTGTGTTTACAAGTGTGTGTGTGTTTACATTGTGTGTTTACAAGTGTGTGTGTGTTTACAAGTGTGGGTGTTTACATTGTGTGTTTACAAGTGTGTGTGTTTAAAAGTGTGTGTGTGTTTACATTGTGTGTTTACAAGTGTTTGTTTACAAGTGTGTGTGTTTACAAGTGTGTGTGTGTTTACATTGTGTGTTTACAAATGTGTGTTTACAAGTGTGTGTGTTTACAGTGTGTGTCTGCAGTGTTGACAGTGTGTTTTCTGTGTGTTTGTTTACATTGTGTGTTTTACATGTGTGTTTACAGTGTGTGTTTACAAGTGTGTGTGTTTACTGTGTGTGTCTGCAGTGTTGACAGTGTGTGTTTACAAGTGTGTGTGTTTACAAGTGTGTGTGTTTACTGTGTGTGTCTGCAGTGTTTACAGTGTGTGTTTACAAGTGGTGTGTGTGTTCACAAGTGTGTGTGTTTACTGTGTGTGTCTGCAGTGTTGACAGTGTGTGTAGTATGTGTGTGTGTGTTTGCTTTATAAAAAGTGTGTGTGTGTGGTGTGTGTGTGTGTGTGTTTGCTTTATAAAAAGTGTGTGTGTGTGGTATGTGTGTGTGTGTGTTTGCTTTATAAAAAGTGTGTGTGTGTGGTATGTGTGTGTGTGTGTTTGCTTTATAAAAAGTGTGTGTGTGTGGTATGTGTGTGTGTTTGCTTTATAAACAGTGTGTGTTTCCTCCTCAGGCTCATTTCGTGTCTGATCTCCCAGATGTGTCGTGTGTGTGTGAGCGTCTGCAGCATCTGAACCTCTCCTTCAACTTCTTCACACACATCCCTCAGCAGGTGCAGCACACACACACACACACACACACACACACACACACACACACACACACACACACACACACACACACACACAGAGACTAAACTGCTGATCTCTTTCTCTATGTGTGTGTGTGTGTGTGTGTGTGTGTGTGTGCGTGTCAGGTTTGGGAACTGAAGCAGCTGAAGGTGCTGAAGATGAGGAGTAACCCACTGGAGGAGCTTCCAGCAAACATCAGCAGACTGAAGAACCTACACACACTGGTGCTGTCCTTCTGCAAGATCACACAGCTGCCCGCAGAGTGAGACACGCGCACACACACACACACACACACACACAATTTTTACTACACAGTAATAGTTCTGTCTGATTTTGTGTGTTTATTTGTTGTGTGTGTGTGTGTGTGTGTGTGTGTGTGTGTGTGTGTGTGTGTGTGTGTGTGTGTGTGTGTGTGTGTGTTGTGTGTGTGTGTGTGTGTGTGTGTGTGTGTGTGTGTGTGTGTGTGTGTGTGTGTGTGTGTGTGTTGTGTGTGTGTGTGTGTG